AAACAGTTTAGTGTGATTTGATGAGAAGTGAACCCAGCAATTGCTACTTCCCAGCTGACAAGTTTGCTTGACTAGCCTTGAAGCAAGTACAAGGGCTGGGAAAGGAGGACAGGTATGGTACCTGTGATGCAGAAGTGGTTCAACCAACTTGCCAATTCTGTGGCCAGATGTAGCTTACAGTGTGGAAAAATATGTCAACCTGACGTGTCCTTTAGGTGGAACTCGAACACCACAACTAATCCTAATGAATGTCTAATTCTGGTTGATGACGTTCTTCCCCTCTGAATTTCCCCCGCAGTTTCACTTGCAGGGAGAATACTTTCATGTCCTATGATTTGTGCAGTAGGACTGTGCAGCTGCCGTGCTCTCTTTCGGAGATACCTCACCCTACTTGTGGATGAAGAATTCTGCTTGCAGAAGCAGTGGAATGCTCCATGATCTTTGGACCAAAGGTATTATTTAAATAATTGGTGTTTTTTAATTGCTATCAAAAGAGGAGTTTCTAGATGTTACGGCAAAGTTATCCCAGAACCACAGTAAAAGTCATGGTTCTCCTGGAGATCTTGAATATAATAAAAGGATGTTACTTAGAGAGGGGATAATTGGAAAGAATGAAAAACCCATTCAGAAATGAAAAATTAGGGGGACAGAGAGTTGTATTTTTTCATATAATAACAATATAATTAAACAATAAGCCCAGAATTTTTAAATGTAACTTGGTGTAAAAGATTGTTCTAAAAGAATGAGCAATAGGAAAAGTTTTGCGATGGTTTAAAACAGTGACACTTTCTAACTGGAGAAGCACATAGGAAACACAAGTTGCCTGAGTAATGGTATGTTTTTAAAATGTGTCCCTTGATGGATAGTTATATGGTTGTATGGCATAGTATTTGGGTGAAGGGCATCACAGAATTCTCTGAACTTGCCACGTTAAGAGAATTTTCTTAAATTGTGACTTCCTTTGATAACTTGTTCAATCAACCTGTGTTTACATGGGAGAAGGCTGGTAAATGCATTTTTAGGATAATTTAATTTAGTGGCTGCTAGGATAGCTTTCAGGTCAGGAGTGGAAAGTCTTAGTCACAGATGTTCTGCCACCAGGAGGCTCACAGCACTGCTCGTGGAACTACTCAGTGTTGCAAGTGGGTGGAAATTTCAGAAAAAATCCCCACATTAGAGAAGTCAAAAGAGTGATTTACTACTTTGGTCTTTAGTTTTGTTTTGAGTTCAACAAGAAACATGGGGCAGGAGCCTTCCCATGGGGTATGTGTACCCAATGTAAGAAAATAAGCTAATTACATGTGAGACTATGCAAGAAAGGAACATTTTGGAAGGAACTGAGGGGCAGTGAAGGAACTTAGGAGTCAAAGAGCACAGATGTGACAGTGTCTTTCAAAAGTTAATGACTACATCCAAAACTGAAAACAGCAAAAAAGAGAGCAAACGAAAACCCAGACAAGCATATTGGTAAAGCTCTTGCTTACTCCAAGACCTTCATGCTTTAGCGTGCCTGTTGGGGTTTTACATGCTGGTTTTCACATGCTGGACTGGGAGGAACAGGAGACAACCTCAAACTAAGTCACACCAAGCTTTCTGGCAATTGCCCTCAAAAGTAAAGGGAGTGAAGTCACCGTTTTTCCCAAACATCGATTTTAGAGTTCTTTGCCATCCAGAGGGACCGTGACATGCAAACCTCGTGAAGTGGAACAAAGCAAAGCACAAGGTCCTACACCTGGCTTGTGGCAGTCCCAGACACAACAACAGGTTGGGCAGAGAAGTGATTGAGAGCAGCTCTGCAGAAGAGGACTTGGGGGTGATGCTTGATGAAAAACTCGACGTGACCAGCAATGTGCACTCGCAGCACAGAAAGGCATATGCACCTGGGGCTGCATCAAAAGGAGTGTGGCCAGCAGGTTGAGGGAGGTGATTGGCCCCCTCTACTCTGCTCTTGAGAGACCCCACCTGGAATATTGCGTAAAATTCTGATGCTCCCAACATAAAAAGGACATGGAACTGTTGGAGTAAGTCCAAAGCAGGGCCAGGAAGTTGATAAGAACACCTACCTTATGAAGACGGGCTGAGAAAGTTGGGGCTGTTCAGCTTAGAGAAGAGAAGGCTGAATGGAGACCAAATAGCAATCTTCCAGTATCTGAAGGGGGCTACAGGGAAGCTGGAGAGCGCATCTTCATCAGGAACTCTAGTGATAGGACAAGTAGTAGTGGGTATAAGTTGAAAGAGGGAAATTTAGGTTGGATATTAGGAAGAAATTCTTTACTGTGAGAGTAGTGAGACACTGAAACAGATTGTCCAGGGAGGTTGTGGATTCCCCATCCCTGGCAGTGTTCAAGGCCAGGTTGGATATAGCCTTGAGCAACCTGGTCTAGTGGGAGTTGTCCCTGCCCATGGCAGGGGAGCTTGGGACTAGGTGATCTTTAAGGTCCCTTCCAAGCCTTAACATTCTATGAATCTATGATTCAGGACAGGAATCCCCCTGTACTGAGACAAGTGGGAACTATTTCATGAGTTTTCTCAGACTTGTTTGGGCCAAACCAATCCAGTCATGAATCAGGCCTGTAAAGTGCATGTGTTCATGTGGTTTCTTCTCCTTTCAGTGATTGGACTGAAGAGATAGTAAATAAAGGGTTTGAGTGTGACTACTGGCTGCATACTGACCGAATTTCAATTAATATACTTCTCCATTTTTCATCTCTGATGTCCACACATGATTTGTAATTGTGAGTCATAAAGACATCTCCAGGAATGGCTGAAAAAGCTTCAAAAGGCAAGAAAGACACAACACATAGCAAGGGAAAATGTGTACCTCCCCCTGAACTGACCTCACATTATTCTGAATGTCAGAGATAATTCTAAAGCCATAGGTCTTCAAACCATTCTCATCTCATCAGTTATCACTGGCACCATGAAAAAGTGCCACTTCCACAGATGGATGCACTCAGCCTGTGACCAGGAAAACTGCACATCCATACACAGACCACAATGCTCTGAAATGGAGCAGTGTGCTCATGCACTGGGCCATGGCCACAAAGAGGGCGGTTTGGTCTGCACCATTTGCCAGCAGCAGGCCATATCCTGAAGCTAAGTCTATCTTTCCTCTCTTACCTAGCCCCCATTGCTAATCAATTCTAGGACACAAGAAGACTTTCAATGGCCTGCAGATATAAGAGAGAATTGAGCACAGAATGTGTATTGAGTATGCCAAAGAAATGTAAGAAGCCAACACAGATACTGTGTAATTCCCCTTCCTTCAGCCTTCCTGGACACTGGCTCCAAGGATCTGCATTTGCTTGTTAAAGACATTTTGTAAAAAAGAGGAAGAAAAGCTGCATGCAGCACTGAAGTTGTAGTGGCCCAATTAATGATTCAGCTTCTCTCTATAAAAGAGCTCATGTGAGAGAAGCAGCTTGTCACACACTCAGTGACAAGCAATTCCCCTCAGCAGAGAATGTGGGTGTAACCCATCTGCAGACTCATGGGATCCTTCTTCATGCAAGCATCCCCAGCAACATGCCTTCTCCTGGAAGATGGCAGCCAGGAAACCATGTAGGATCTTTGAGACTACTGTCCTCACAGCTCCAAATACAACCCCTCAAGAAAGGCAAGCAAGTGTTATCTGGTATTCTTGCCTGGGTTTTGTCTCTCTCTCACTCCTATTTTCAGTTCCGGTTTTGGTCTTTGCTCCTGTGAGACAGCCATTGCAAAACATGCCCAGCTATAGCAGTACATTCTCTCCACTTATGTCTCCAGTTGCTAAATTGTTTTAACTTCTCCTCTTACACATCTGCATTGGATTAGAAAAAAAAATAGGGCTATCCTTTATTTTTTTTCTTGACTGAAAGCAAAAATTCCTATTTATTTGCTGAGAAGTAGTTTCTGTAGTTTTCAATGGCTTGGCACATGCCTTTTTATTTAGGCAGTCAGTTGTGTGGTTTAATTCAGTGGAGCCCAGCCTGGGAAGGAAACCCCTTGATAACAGTTCACCATGTAGTAGGGCAGCCAGAGCAGAAAGAGGATGACCCCTGTCTACAACAATGGATTCTGCATGAGCCCTCCCTCCCTTTCCTCCTCTTCTGCTATGACAGCTGGATCACAGAAAAAGCTATCTATATCCTCTGAGACAGTTGGACTTCTTTCTCCCCTTTCCTAAGAAAAGGCAGGATGAACCTGGAAAAATTATCATTGGCAGTTCTGTACGTTACAGTGCACACACAAAAAATATGTCAGTGGACTGAGCGGAATTCTGTATTAAATAGAAGAAGAGACCAGAAACCCAGGGTAAAGACCCAAGTGTACTGGCCTAAAATAAAACATGACGAAAAATGGGGAACCATCAGGAAACTGACAGCAGACAGCAATCTCACTGTTTTTAAGTAGTATGACACCTGGAGAGTTTTCACATCTGCTCCAGCAAAGAGGATTCTTTGGAGCTGTTTAAAGGAGGAGAGTGAAGGATCCTGGCAAGGATAGTGTGGAGGCTTCTCCCAGATATATGGAAAATGCACACAAAAACCACAAAGGCGCTGCTAAAATGCAAACTAGCAAACACAGACCAGTCAGATGCAGGTACTGTTCTCTCACCAGTGCATGGGAATGACATTTGGCTGTTTACCGGGATTATAGGCCTTTATACCACATGAACCCAAGGACCCAGAGAAGTGTTCGCTTATGAGACAAATCACAGGATTTTTTTCTTTTTTTCTAAAAAGATACCTGATTTTCTTTACCACAAACTATGTGCTGTTTAGCCTCAAATTTTAAAATCGTACAGGATTTCTCTCCATTACTTTTACTGTTGTGAAGGATAGGTTCCTGTTACAAAACTGAAGGTCACACACTTCATCACTTCTGGTAGCTGACATCATCACGCCATCTCCCCCACCTCCTCCTTCTGTGTCACCCTCTCCTCCCCCTCTACTTTCAATTCCCCCATCTTCTTCCCACGATACCAGGTCAAGCATGCTCCCCATTCCTCTTTCCCCTGCTTCAGGCGTTCTGAGTACTTGTCTTACCCATTGCGCCCCGTGGACTCTGTGTTCCTCCCATGGCATACACAGTCTGCAGTAATCTTGCACCACATCAGCTTCTCTGTAAACCAGAGATCTGCCATGCCATGCTTGATGTTGTTGCTGAAGGCTGGAAAACACACAGAAGTCCTTGCACCGGTCTATGGAAAAAGGTGAGAGCAACTTTCTCAATACTCTCTCTCTTGCTAAAATTTTTTGGTTTACCATTTCTTTGGGAGTACTGGAGTATTTTCAACCTCTAACATATTTCTTTCCTCCTTCTTACAGTGTCATGGAGGTCTGCATATTATTCCTTTGTGCTATGATATCTCTCCCAGGTAAAAGGCACATTTTCAATCGTTAAAACAGTTTTGATTTTGTGTGTCCTGCTATGTGATACTTTCTCATCCACTAAGAAGCTCATTCCTTAGTAATAATTAATCATTTCCATTGCACAATCAAGGTCATATAGCCTATGTGTTGTATTTAAATTGTGTGCAGGTACTCTATAAAATATATATAGTAAGTACTTTCTCTCTTTATATCTTTATATTACATTTATTTTATGTTGCTCTTAAATTTTCAATTTAAATCTGTCTTTAAAATGTGTGTATATCACCTGTGTGTATTATAAAGAAGAGCAGTATTAAACTGGAAACTGACAGTTTGATATGGGACAAGTGGAGTTTTAGGCATCTGCAGAGATCATTTTGCAGTCTGGTGCTCTGGAAGAACAGTCAAAACTTTGCAGCAGGAGAGATACTGTAAATCTTCTCCACCTTTCAAACACAGCAGAGATGTTTGCATCTTCTGGGACAGAGGACTGCATTTCTTATTCCAAGAAAAGACAGTCCTCAGAGCCCTTTGCCACCCATAAAAATGGATACGTGCGTGGATGAAAGTGGGAGAAAACTCATCCTTCGTGTAATATGGTTCATCCTTTTTTTGCATGAAGGCATAATTTTGTTTATTGACCATTTTTGTTAACAAGATCAGCAACTGAACAGTTAAATCTGACATTTAATCTGTCATTAAACTCTAGATTAATTACAGAGCAGTAAAATCTGACATTTAATTTGTCATTAAACTTTGGATTAATTCTTCATTGGGACTGAAAGTGTTCACCTGTTTCTGACCTTCTGGTCATACATTCCCTAGACACTCACATTCACCAAACAGTGCGTACTTCACATTTTCTTCAAAACTCAAATGCCGTGTTGTTTTATTAGGAGAATGAACTCAACTTTTTAAAAAGGAGTTGTGCAGCTGTCTCTTCTGGGGCAGAATTTCATTTCACTCAGGATGCTATGAACAAGAATGGTTTGGACCTTAGGTCTGCAGATAAGTCTTCTAAAATATAGATGCTCACAATCTCTGTGTGGTAAACCTTCCTGGGAAAGTAAAATATAGGAAGAAAAATAAGAAACAGTTTTATGACCTGAACTCCATAAGACTAAGTGTGTCAGTTTGAACAACTACGTGTCTTGTCATACCTAGTGGGAGAATTTGTGTCTAAATGCTGGTGTTTTTATTGCCACTGCCATTAAGTGTTGACTCTGTGAGCCCAACTTGGTGTTCTTTTGTAGCTGGTGGAAATCTCAATTTTTCTCTCTCTCTGTCTAAGGTATTGCTGCCAGTGTGCATCAGGTGAAGGCATTTCTCAATCACACTGCATACCTATCCTGCTATTTTCCAAACTCTCAGAAAATTGACATGAGGGACTTAATAGTTTTTTGGCAAAAAGGCTCTCATACAGTGGTGCATGAAGTATACTACGGTGAAGAAAAATGGGAGCACCTTAGTCCTGAGTATATAAATCGCACCAAGGTGGATATGGACAAATGGACCTTGCAATTGTTAAATGCAGGATTTAAGGATGAGGGACACTATGAGTGTATCATACAGCACAAAAAGGAAGGACCGCCAAAGGTCATACACACGTCTGAGTGCTCACTGCACATCATTGGTAAGTAATCTCTTCCAATTGCCATCTGCTCGGAGGGTTTTGGGGGATTCTCTGTGACTTTATTCAGTCCAGAAATAGGGGTCCTGCCTCCAAGTGACTGAAAATGTACCTGCACAGGAGCAGAATTTCTAAAGATGGATAAGAGTGTTCTCAATAGGAAATCTTTATCTGTGAATGAAAAGTACCCAAGTAGAAGTAATCAGAAGAAGTAGAAAATGAGGCAGTAATTTGCTCAATATTACACGATCCCTGATTTCTACCCTGTCATATTTTACAGTGGAAACCATTCTGCCTTCTTCCTCTTGCCTCCTGCAAGTTTTATGACTTTAAGGACTATGGAAAATAAACTTTATTTGCATCTGATGCACTACCTTCTATTAAAAGAAGTAGTAGTTATCATCATTGGTGGTACACTAGAATTGAAACATAGCAAGATCTCTGCAAACACCCAGCTATTTTATGATCATATAAATCACAGGGAAAATAAAGAAAAGAACAGCTCGCATGGAGGAGTAGAAATTCATATGTGCAGTTAAAGGAAAACTGAAAATATCTCTGAAGAAAAAAATGCATGCATTAATGAGATTCAACCTGATTTTGTACCAGAGAATTTTTTTAATAAGAGGAAAAGGCAGTAAATCTTTTAAGAGGGAAATGGAAATGAGGCACCAATCTTTTCCTAATATTTTCTAATATTTTTAATAATTCCTAATGTATAATCCTAATGTTTTTCTATTTTAAACTATTCTGTTAGTAACCTTTAACAATATTCCTGTGTTCTGTCTTCCACTATGATAGTGCTAGCCATTAATAATAGCAGCTTCTAACTTCCACTAGTGTTTTCAGGTTTCAGCATACTAATCTAAAAAAGAACAGGCCATGTATAACTGCAGCCAAAAATGGAGTACCAGGATATCTGATCCTGTTTAGCTTTGTGTTACCAGCAAGTGTTCCCTCAATCCACAAATAGAAAATCTAGATTGTTCATTTTGATTCTCCCAGGATCTACTTGACAAGCATTTTCAGTGAAGTTTTACAACTCAGAAACTCATAATGTGCACTCAGTATCAAGGCCTCCAACTTAAGAGATGCTTAGCATCAATTGCTCAATTAGTTCAAACAGTTAAGTCAGTTATCAGCTTAGCCAATATCTGAGCAACATGTTGTAGATATCTCATATTTAAGCACTAAGACTCTCCTACACCTTGTAAGGTTTATCTCAGGAAGACTGTTTGAACTATGTGCTGTTGGGTTCTTTCCAAATGGCTCTCTGTTCAATAAATTCCTAAACAAAGGAGCAGTATAAAACCATATTTTTTAAAAAAACCCTTCAAAATAATTAGAAGAAAAATACAAATGTTGAAGGGAAAATACAAATGTTGAAATATACCTGTGCTTACATGCTGTTTTTTAATTAGAATCTCATATCATACATGGAGGGCTTTTTGTAGTTTGGCATGTCACATTTAAAAGGGACTTCAGAAAGATTGTGTGCTGTACAAGAATGATAGGGGCAGTCACACAAAGCTATCTAGATCACTTGATAACCAAGCCTATTCAGAAATACTGAAGTAGCTTCTAATACAGTTTACACTGGTTATTTTTATGTATTACATTAGTACAATATACAGATAGCATGAAGCTGTGTCAGGGGAGGTTTAGTTGGATATTAGGAGACGGTTTTTCATCCAGAGGATGGTTGGGCACTGGAACAGGATCCCCAGGGAAGTGGTTACACCACCAAGCCTGCCAAAGTTCAAAAAGTGTTGGGACAATGCTCCCAGGCACATGATGTGATTCTTGGGGTGCAGGGCAAGGAGTTGGACTTTGATGATCCTTGTGGGTCCCTTCCAACTCAGGAGATTCTATGACTCTATAATATGTATGTTGTATGTATTGTGTACAGCCAGGATGACGTATAATAACAATGAACTCAGATCCTTCTCCAGAAAAAAAGGGAAGGCTTCACAATGGAAAACTTTGGCTCTTAAAACATGCAAGGTAGAGACCATGGTGACAAGCTGCTTAACTGGAAAATCTGCTGCAAAAGCATGTCTGCAGTGCATCTTCTGGATGAATCAATAAGGGAAGTAGGTGAGGCTAGGGAAGCTGTTCAAAATATGCACTAGTCAAAGTGCTGGAAATGAAGCTGATGTCAGAAAAGAGACTTACAGTTTGTGACCTCATTTGAAAAGGGATGTTGAAAAACTGTGAAGTATGAAGAAAAGCTCTACTAAAGTTATCTGAAGGCTGGAAAAAATACAGTCCAACTAGAGATGTTAAAATAACAATCTGATTGCCTTATAACACAGAATAATGACAAGACTCTTGTTTCCAGAGTGCAGGAACCTGAAATATACATAAAATACTGGATATTAAAAAATTTTAAAAGGGTTAATTAATTCGGTGATAGTCAGTGTCTGGAAGCAAGTGAGAAGTAAGGCACATTGTCACTTGAGAAAATAGAACAAAACCAAGTAGAATGATTAAGCCATTGAGAAAAATAGTAAAGGCTTGATGGATCTGCTGTCTCTTGAAGTATTGAATCTAAACCTATAGCCTTTCTGGAAGATGCTATCTTTAACTATGAAAGATGTTCTGAAATGTGCTTTTCTGTTAACAACAAAAACCTCACATATATGTAGTCCACACCCTGCCTACAACCAACATCACTTTTCAGTAAATTGAGGTTCCAGAAGCTATAAAACAGAAATGCAGAGTATATTCCACTATTTCCACTTGCTTACTGTCAATAAGATTGAAACCCTTAAATCACTTGGATGATGTGACAAGTCTCACAGCCATGGATTACAATCCTGCCATCTCTATAAAATATCAAGGAGAGAATAAATTCTCCAGACCAGAAGTCTGACAGCAGTCAGCTAAGCAAGTCAGACCTTGAGGAGAAAGAGAAAGCTTGAGCTTTCCTGACAGACAACATAACTTAATTTTGGGGTATAAAAAGGGGGGACTTTTTCAATTTTGATTTCATATCTGTGGAGTCTCTTGGGGGGATTTAAGTGACTAAACTAAATCCTATTCCCTGTGTGCTAGGATAGAGCAAATAAAAGCAACATCATGTTTCTTCATTCATCCATGTTAAGAATACAGTAGGGCAAGGATTAAATCCTGGATCCAACACACTGAATGTCTGTTCAGAAGAGTGAGACCCTCTTAGGCACATATTTTTCTAAGAATCCTTTTCCCCTTCTTCAGTATTTCTCCATATTTTCTTTAGTCCTATTGACATTAAAATAATGAAGCATTTTCAATGAAGTCTTGAGTCTGTTTCTTGGGGTTTGTTGCTGATTTTTGGGAAGGGGCTGTTGTTTGGTTTTTTTAACTTGCTGTATGCCAACATGTAGTCAGTATTATGGCTACCTTCTCTCCTCCTTTCCCATCAGAGTCTACTATTTTTACTAGGACCTTTTAACCAGAAAAATCCTGGTTGAGAATATTTGGGAGATTATTTAAGAGAAAGTAGCGGTTAAAATCTTCTATTTTTTCATTCATATTTTATGTTTAAATGGTTCTTCCCAATCCTGTTTCACTATTTCTTGCCTGGGAAACTTGACTTTTTAAAGCAACAGGTGTGTTTTTCATTGACTGCAATGAGTACCAAGTGACACAAAGTAAAAAAACCTAATGCTATGGTCTTTTCTACCTAAGGGAAGCCTACTACCAAGCTCTGATGAGTGAATTACTTTATATGCTGCAAAATGTTTGCTCACAATACTGGCAGACACCAAGGATATTTCTGCTCATGACAGCCCTGCACCTCATTTGAATTCTTTCAGATGATCTCTTTCTCTACATTTCATAGTTACAAGTTTGTGGTTTTCCCCTTACTCGTTTCAGGAGGTCAAAAGTAGGCAGCATTGTGTCCCCTTCCCATTTTTTGCTTAAGCCCATACCCGTAAGCAGACCAGGTTTGATTATTCTGAGGTGTCAATGTGTCAAAAGGAGGTGGGAGAGACCCATTGTCTTGCTGATCAGACTTACATCCTTGAAACACTCTGAGGACAAGAAGCAACAAGTCTACATATACACCAAAAAAACCCCAAACCAACAACAAAAAAACCAACCAACCATAAAAAAAAACCTTCTTGGAACACCCATTGTCTTCCTGAAGAAAACTCTTTAGAGTTGTTTCTGCCTGAAAATCTTAAATAATTCACAGGAACTGTCAGAAATGTGGTATGTCTGGCTCATGATGCTTTCTCTTCGGTCTGTTTCAGCCAACTATAGTCAACCTGAGATAGCACAACTGCACACCGGGGAACTAAAGCCCAATGGATATTTGAATCTTTCCTGTTCGTCCATTGGAGGTTATCCAGAGCCCAAGGAGATGACTTGGCTAATTTCATATGAAAACACAACATACAAGCATATGCCTGACATGGACATCTCACAGGATGCCGTAACAAAGCTGTACAATGTTACTAGCAAGCTGAATATCCCAGTTCCTACAAACAGCCTCACTAATATTAGCTGCTTGCTTCACCTCAGAGAGCAGCTGGGAATCCTTGTCTCAGCACCACTACACATTGGTGAGTCTCCATTTGCCCATTCCATTTTTGCATGGGTAGGAGCAGGGTGCATTGCAGTAGAGCTGATCACAAATAGCAGCATAGTCAGGGCAGGGAACAAAACCTAACTCGTAGTAGCAGTTTGTTACAAGGGTTGTATGTTCTCCATCTGTTTGCCACTGAACTCCCTCTCTTTTCCACATGGGAAATCTTATTACAGCAAGGAGAGGGCACAGAGAAGGAAGGCTACTGTTACACAATCCAGAACACATCATCCCTATTCATCCCTTCCCAAGAAGATGCTGTAGTAGCAACAAAGCAACCTGGATCTCTGGATTAGGCAGCAACTTCCAGAGGTGATAGCTTTTGAGAGAGTTTGACACTTCACAGACTCAGAGAACTGTTGAGGTTGGAAGAGGCATCTGGAAATGATCTAGTTCAATCACACTGCTCAAAGTAGGGTCAATAGTTAGCACAGGGCCTTATCCAGTTGAATTTTAAATACCTCCCAGGATAAAGACTCCACAACCTGTCTCAGCAAGTGTTCCAGATTTTGACTACCCTGACAGTAAAAAAGTGGTTTTTTTCTTCTGGTTTAAAGTGCTTGAGCTGCTATTCTTAATCATTCCTTAGAGAAAGGCAGAAGGCAAAACAGAAGAGCCCCTTGGACCATATTTGGTTCACAAACTGCCAAATAGACTGTGCTGAGTTTAAGTGTAAAGGCCATGAAACTTGGACTAGTATTAGAGGCATTCCTGGTGGTTTTCATAACATTTGGCAGAATGAAGTGCACATTCCAAAATGACTATTTGGGGATTTTTGTTCTCTGAGATTGTGTCTTTTTTGAGACACCTCTTGCAAGAAGAAGCTGGGGACCTGAGTTTCAATATGACTTTACTGTTGGATTATCTCAGGGTTCCAGATGACTGATTGTTTATTTAAATTAAAGCAGTATTTTATTTATTTTCTGGAACAGGAAGACATCTTTGGGCATACTTTTGTTTGTAAACTATGGCACAAGCACATCAAAATAAAGACAATTCCCACTTTGGTCATAAGTTTGTTTGGCTTGCACATGTCTCTTTAAGACAATGCTGAAGATGAAGAGCTGTGCTTCAACTGACAGGAACGGGGAACCAAAAGGGAGTGGTAGCATTGCAGGAAAGCCTACCAGGGTAGTACAGACATGCACTTTCCTTCTGCAGATGTAAAAGAACCTTGCCACTTTTTCTGAAAAATTTCTACAGTGCAGTTTCCTTAATATAAATTTAGCTAAAGAGTTAAGTTATCAATGGCAAACTGCCTCTAATGTCTTTAAATTCTAGGACTTTTAAATAATATTAAAATACAATCCAGAAGTCTTCTAAGGTTTGTTTAGCTCTACACATTCCTTGTGAATGTTGACATGGCTATATTAGCTATATTAGCAATAATGCTGTATCCTCCTCTTCTCTATTCAATTATTTTCTCCTTTCTGGCTTTATGAAAGTAGTCACTGGATAAGCAGAGATGGTAAGAAACCAGAAACTCCACATAAACATAAGTTTTGTTTGGCAATAACTGAACCTCTATCAGCTGCTAACCCTACCAACCAAAACCTCAGAAACACAAAAACCAGAAACAGAGGGAAAGTCCTTTGCATTCCCTGCTACTTTCATATCCCTTCCAGCATTTCATTAGGCTTTGACCATCATTTGCAACAGATACCAAGTAGTAACATATCCAAGGTTCTTTGAGCTTGCACAGTAGTATTAGCACAGTAGCTGCCTCCTAGGCTCTTGTATTAAGTTGCTGATCCCTCACATGTTACTCAAACCTCAGAAAGAGTGCTTTGCCTTACTGTTGCTGAAGTGATGATTAAGACCTGGTAGTTTCTCTAGGTTTTGGAAATGGAAATAAAACAATATGGATAGTGATTTATTGACACTATTAAAGCACTGTAAAAGCAAAGGATGCTGAGGGCCTTTACCTAAACTTCTAAGTCGCTTAACTTTGGAATAGAGTGTTTAAGCTAATGTCACCAAATTAAATCTTTCCTGTGTGAATCTTCTGTGTTTTCTTATTCAGAGATACAGGAGAAAGAAATGGAACAAGTAAATATAAATTTCTCTGGCCCACTTATAGCTGTGGTTTTACTGGTCGCACTTCTTCTGGGTTTTGTGATATTGAAGAAGAACAGAAATATCTTGTCTACCAACCAGAGTAAGTTATTACATGTCATTCTGTTCTACCATCCCTCAAGTCATAGGTTTTACCCTTTATAATCATCCCTTTACCTTCTTTACAGGTAAAGAGAGAAAGTTAGGTTTCATGTTGGACTTAAGCTAAACTTCCTAGGACAATTTAATTCCTGTAGGACAATTTAATTCCTACAACAACTTAGTCCATCCTGCACCAAGTCAAAACATCTTTCTCCTGTCTTGTCCTGGGATCTACTTCTCCCTCTTCTTTGTGTTCTGTGAGGCTGCCATGGCACCAGCTTACCACCTTTTCCTGTAGTTTCAACCTTTTTTTTACTGGATTTTGAGTAGATTTGGCTCCTAAAATCATTGAACTGTGTAAATCTTTCTTGTCCATCACTACTTATAAGAAAGGTGGAGCTGGGGAAAGAATGAACTTACATGAAGTGCAAGGATCTCCATCATCACAGAGCTGAATGATCACCACAAGCTGCCCACACACTGGACTGGAAGAATCATCTTGTACTAGGAACAGAATTTGATCTTTGCATTGCATTTCTCTATTTTCTTCCAAGACAGTACTCAGCAGTCCAGGGTTTGTTTGGCACTGAAAGGATCCTCATGCTGACATCAGAGTCTATTTTTCTTTGTAGCAAAAGGGAAATGCATTCCTCAGTCAGTCCTGTTTCCTATACAGCCGAGGGCCCTGAGCCCCACCTCATTCTTTTTTCCAAATTCTAAGATAACCGAACATCTACTATCAACTCTTTCTCGGCTCCTATTTATCACATTTCTGTAAATCATATATTCATCTATTTTAGGTGTCAGTCTAGCAGTCTAGAAGCTATCCAGCTTGAAACTGAGGCCATCAGCCAGACTACTGACAGAGAACTGCCTCAGCACACAGCAGGACCTGAGGTCCTATGTTTTTAGAGTCTCTGCCAGAACGAGAATCCTCCACAGATGCCCTACAGAACAACAAGCAACATTTTGTCTAATGGCTGAAACCTACTGCCCAGTGTTCTCTGTTTTTATTTTTGCTCCAGGATGGTAGTAAATATGATGCTCTGCCTCTCTGCATGACTACATTTTTGATGTATCTTTTATTGTGCTCTTTGAAAATGTAAAATCCTGACAGTCAATGAAGAAAGCAGAGCTGCATGGGTTATGGAATGTCTCAGAAAGAGAAGGAGTTGGGCCACAATCTGTGAATCATAACCATTGCTGCAAACAGGCAGGCTATTAGTCACAGAATCATAGAATGGCTTGGGTTGGAAGGGATCTTAAAGATCATCTAGTTCCACTCCCCTGCCTAATCATGAGGCACAAATGCTTTTGGCAGAGCCAGTGTGGCTTTGTACCAGTAACTTTCTTGTAAAGCTTCATGCCAGTAAGAGGAACTTCAGGGCACTTCCCCACCTTCTGAGAAAAGTCGTGCAATTCCTATCAGGCATTTGAAACTAGAAATAATCTGAAGGCAATACCTGCTTTAAACATAATTTCTGATTATCCTAATTTTTTTAATATCATCCAAGCTTTATGTGCCCAGACACTTAGTACTTCCATGCTTTGTTCTTCTGTATTCTGACCGAATGCCGTAGTAGTTGTTCAGGTGGATGCAGGGACAGAAAATGAAAGCATGAGGTATCATTCATACATGTGTATATCTAAACATACAAAATTAAGCTGAGCAGATAATGAAAAAATATTACATGAGTAGGTCATGTTCCAATTTGGTTGACTATGTTCTCCCCTTGTTAATTTTGCTTCAAAATTGAAGATAGAACAACCTATACACTGTGGTAAGTTCAGCTATAAGAGAGAGTTTTACCTTTCAGAAAAGATTCTTTTTCGCTCAAAATGTGCCAGCTCTCCAATCTTGAATGACCTCTGCACCTTATATTCTTCAACAGCACTGACATCTTTCAGGAGCAAGAACACAGCAGAACTGAGACAAAATTCTTCTGAGGTCTTGATTGTGTTTGTAGGTCTGGCATTTTCAGAAAGAGCAGGGACACAAGCATCATATTCTCAAGACAAATTTCAGCTCAGAATTACAATTTGGGGACATAAATTCTCTACTCGTGCATGCAAATATTCTTTTCTGTTAAATGATATTGTGAGTTGCTAGATTCCACCTCAATTTTTACTGTTTTTTCAAGTGTGTGAGAGAAATGCATGTTCTTTTGAGTTACCTAAACTATTTGGGAGTCAGTTTATTAAGCTATTACACCAACATTCCAAATATTTTCATTCAGATTCATATCATTCAAATGTTATTAAAAGTTAAAGGTTTTATTTTTATGTAAAAGTTTATACTTGCTAGCAAACTTATTTAAAGATTTATTAAAACATATGTCTTTTTCTGTGTTGCTGTCTTTATTTTCCTGCCATCAAAGCAGTATTTTGGGGAATACTGACATTTGGTGTTCTCAGGGAGGAAACATTTCCAGAATTACTTCTTGGAAACAAATGAATAAAATAAGTATTGATGCAATGACCAAGAATGGCACAACTGGAGGTTTTCATATGTTCATCCGTGGAGCCGCCTCTATGTGCACAGATCTGTGTATACATACCTCTTTGATCTACTGACCTATACACCTCAAAGATTAGATACAAAATTGCAGTCTGAAAATTTTTGATTCTATGTCGGAGGTTGTCAGATATATCTCCAGTGGGTCACATAATCTTCTCTAACTCTTGATGCTATTTGGTTTCTTAATTAGTGCATGCGTTAAACAGTCAGGTATACTAAATCAGATAGACACTCACTAGATTTGTGTTGTCTCTCCTTTTTTTTTTGACACATGCTGTAATTCAGTTCATTTTTTTTCAACATTTTCCTTTCCCACTCGAGTCATCCACCTCAAATCCTCACTGACACTGAGGTTGTCAGAACAATAGTCAAACCTTACTTTGTTCCTACCCAAACAACGAGCCCTGTGGGTCTTTTGTCTTCCATATAACTAGATTCACACATGTACACATATGCTGTTGTACTCACAGTCTTGGAACTCTCCTGCTGGTCCCCAAATTCTGATATGCTGCTTGTCTGGTCAGCTTTATGCACTGAGGGAAAAAAAACATCACTGACCTTTCATGTTTTTCTATAGGAGAAAAACAATAATCAGTTCCTCCACAATGGATAAGGGATCTGGATTCCATTTTAGGACTCAAGAGTCCTATAGCACATTCACTTAGCAGAAAAAAATAATTCTGAGCACTTGGCAATTCAACAGTTTTTGCAACATGCCTTAGTACCTCTGAGGGAGCTTTTCACCCTGATACAGTATTTGCTGTCACTATCTGTAGCTGCAGCCAGCGGAAAAAGTGACATGGTGAGTTAGGTTTATCCTTTGACAATTCCCTTCCATCATTAATTTGTTCCTAATTGGTGAAGTTGTTTGTTTTCCTCCTTGCCATCCATCTACTTTAGGCTGCCAACCTTCTTCTATTACCTGCTTAATTTCTCTACCTCCTCTTATTCTTGCTCTTAAAATCAACTCTAATTCCCTCCTGCAGTTAAAGACATTTAAGGGGAAAAAAGCAGATGGGCTTCAGGGAAAAATCTTAGTTTGTCTCTTTCTGTTCAAATGCATTAATCCTCTGCACTAGCAGGTGTAATGAGCACAGTAGCAAGGCACAGGAAAAGCATGGCTGATGTGCTGGCATTTTTGTCCTCTATACAGATACATTCAGATTTCCAGGCTCTCTCCTCACACACTTCACTTTTTTCTTTCCAACATAGTTTCAGTCATTCAGCGACTCTATAAACATGGCAAGCAAATGAATAAGCGTACGCCCCTATGTACTACAGCATGTAACAACTTCACTTAAAAACACCATTCCTTTATTTTCAGGTGGAACATTATGAATTGCAGAAAATACTAACAAAGAAATGGCAAAGGTGTGTTAAACTAGTATCCAGTGCCCTAAAGTAAAATCCTGTCATCAGACTTAGAGTTGTGATAGATTGCTTCAGGTTCATTGATTAACCAGCAATGAATCACCAAATAACTGAGACTGGAATGGACATAGGGAGATTGTCCAACTCAACCCCCTTGCTCAAGCAGGGTCACCTGGAGCAAATTGCCCAGGTCCGTGTCCAGACAGCTTCTGAATATCTCCAAGGAGGGAGACTCCACAACGTATCTGGGCAAGTTGGTACAGAGCTCAGTCACTCTTCATGGTAAAAGAGGGTTTCCTGGTGCTCAAAGGGAAACTCCTGGGTTTCAGTTTGTGCTTATTGCCTTTGGGCCTGTTACTGGGCACCACCAAGAGCCTGGCTCGGTCTTTTTCGCACCCTCCCTTCAGGCACTTACACACACTGATGAGATCTCTCCAAGGCTTCTCTTCTCCAGGCTGAACAGTCCCAGGGTACTCAGCCTTTGCTCAGATGAGAGATGCTCTACTCCTTTAATCATCTTTGTGGTCCTTCACTGAACTCTCTCCACTATGTCCCTGTCTCTTGCCTACTAGGAAGCCCAAAACTAGGCACAGGACTCCAGGTGGTGCCTCACCAGTGACCACCTCCCTCAGCCTGCTGGCAATACTCTCCCTGACACAGCCCAGATACTGTTGGCTGCCCTTGCCACGAGGGCGCACTGCTGCCTAATCTTCAACTTGTCCACTAGGCCACTCCTGTCCTTTTCTGCACAGCTGTTTTCCAGATGGTTTGCCCCAGCCTATACCTGAGAATGGCATTATTATTCCTAAGGTGCAGGACTTTGAATTTCCTTTTTTTTTTTGAGGTCCCTCCCTGCCCATTTTCTCCAGCCTCTTGAGATCCCCCTGGATGGCCATATGACTGTCTGGTGTTCCACTCCTCCAAGTTTTCATCATCTTCAAAGTTGCTGAGTGTACACTTGCTCCCAGCATCCAGGTCATTAGTGAAGAGGAAAATCAGTTAGTTTTACTGTAAGTTCCTTAATGTCACCAGTGCTACTGCTATGGTTAACAGGTGATGAAACAGTGGAGTGTTGCATTTCCAGAATATTCCACAGTCACTTCTGAGAAGATTGTCATTAACAAAGTATTTCATGGCAAATATCCCTTAGTGGATTTTTTACCCTTTCATGTGAATTATTTGCTACTGGAGGTTACATTTAACCACAGAAATATGGTAACTCTATTAAAAAAATCTAGTTCTTGTGTGTATTATCTCTATGTTTTGGTTTCAAATTCTTTTTCTTTCTCCTTTCCAAACTCAGAAGGCAACAAGAAAAAAAATATATTAAGTACTTCTCTACACTGGAATGCTGGACTGTCATAATTCATAACTGATCTCTCTTTGGTTTTCCATCTTTGGCACTAGGAGGGCCATAATGCTGAGACAGGGAAGGATTTAAGCAAGGCATGTTTTCGGATCTCACGATTGACTACCAGAAGGTTTTCAAGAGAATATCTATTGGACAAGAAAGTTAGTGAAAGTTGAGAAAGACTTGGAAATGGATGAGGTCTGAGAAAGTGTAAGGAGAAGAGTGATACGCTGGGCTGGCTTGCAACAGGAAGTGCACATGCATCAAGTGCAGATCTGCTTCACAGACTCCAGGAAAGCTGGGAAAGGCTACTCTCCAGACAGCAGACATGCCACTAGCAAGGAGAGGTTCTGCACAGAAGTCCAGAAATCCAGAATACACTTACAGCTGTTGACGTGCCTCCTCACATACTTGTGATATTTACAGCAGATACGCAAGATCAAATTTTCCTGCACTTCCTGGTTTCTTGATACTGACACATGCATATTTTTTGTCCATTACTTCTGTTAATACAACTCTAAAACAAAGAAACTAATGAAAATCATAAAAATTATCCCTAGCCACCCATTTCTAATAAGCAATGCTTATTATTTCAGAAGGACATAGACCTAGGAAAAAACAGAAAGATGAGTTGAGGATAGCTCAGACTGCAGTTACATACCTACATGCACAGCTGATGCACTGTGTATATTGCCTGCCCTCTTCTGAAACATGCTTTTGATTTAACTTGTACAGGTGTGAAAATGAGACTATGACACAGAAGCAAAGGAGAGATCTTACTTCTTTACCTTGCACTGTTAAATGCACTACTGTATCCAGAACCGTGTCATATCTCAAAAAGATGTTAAAATATTAGAATTAGAAAAGAAGTGATAAAAAGTGACTAATGCTCTAGAAAGCATGTTTACAACGTGAAGTTTATGGAGTTCAACCTATACAGACAATGAAGAAAATGGAGAAAGGACCTGATGAATCTGTCTAGTATTCCAACACTTGAATTGACTGGAGATCCTTCCTGCTGAGTGACTCATACTAGGGAACCCAGAACTGGACACAGTACTAGAGGTGTGGCCTCATCAGTGCTGAGTAGGGGGGAAGAATCACGTTCCTTGACCTGATGGCAACACTCCTCCTGATGCAGTCCAGGATACCGTTAGTACTCTTTGTCACTTACATTCAGTGCAGTGTCCACCAGGACCCCCAGGTCTATTTCTGCAAAGCTGCTTTCCAGCTTGTCAGCTCCCAGCATGTGCTGATGCATGGAAAGGAGACAGAGAAGCTAAGAGTCAGAGTAATCAGGTTTCTTGAATGTATATGAAAGATCCAGTATATACATACATGTACATGTTTGTACTGTGGAATAGAAAGGGACTGATTTAACAAAATATTAGAGGGAAAACAAATTATGATACCTAGCAAGAGATTCTAAGTGGAAAGAAAAGCCAAGACAAATTCAAGGAGAGAAGATGTTTAGTATTATATTTCTTATCGCTAGATAGCTTCTTAAAAGAATTATCAGTGGCCACAGCTTCTATTACTCAAGTTGCCAATGGCAACAGAGCATATTGTGAGTGAGATAGAAACCAAGCTTTTCCTAACAGATCAGGCACCCAGATGCAGAGGACTTTAAAACTCTGAGACCTTCTTTCTTCAGAGATTTTTCTTTCTATGCCTGGGATACTGTGCAAGATCCACTGTCCAACCACTGTTTGGAGAGTGTCTCAGCTGAGGTTTGATCAGATTGGATGGGCTGAAACTGGCAGAATTGTGCTGATGGATAACAACAGATCATATGGCCAGTCATCTTTGTCCAGCTGTATTAGAAAAGATAATTTAAAATAAAAAAAACCTCAATAACAACTAATTTCTTCTTCAGCTTTAGTTAAACTACAGTTAGAGCTTATACTTAAAAGGCAAAGCTATGGCTTAACATCTTTAAAATCATGGGTAAGAAGGCTAGAAGTGTGCAGGAGTGAAAGCTGTTTTGCAGACCGAAGCCTTTACAGAAATTCAATTAGACTATTAGGAAGGTGTTTCTTCCTTAATTAGGTCGGTGGTTAAGTCCTTCAATATTATGTATGCACTCAGAGCAGAAAATGTGTAAAAACAACTCAGTATAGGAACAGAGTAGGTTTTATGAAGCAATATACCAAAATGCTCCATCAGCATAACACACTGAAACATCAAACCCCAGCTTCCCCTAAAGTAATGCAAAGCAGGTGTTTGATCCCAGAACACAATTAGGAACCATGGGAGATACTTATCTTCTCGTATCAGTTTTACTACTCCTAAGCTTTCTCTCATGGGCAAAAAGTGCACAGAAGTCTGAATTCAAGGGTATCACATCCCAGACACTCATTCGCGGGGTAATTTTGGGGTGCTGACTGCAGCTGGCCGCTCTAAACTCCAACACAAAGAGCTGCAGTGGCCGTACACCACTGAGGGAAAATGTAGTTATGTGACGGTCCTCAGTCAGACCACTGGGCTTTTCTTCTCCTTTGCCCTCCCGGAACGCTTGACCAGCAGCGCCCACAGACCCCGGGCAGCCCCGGCGGTCTCCCCCCACCCCCTCAGACTCCCCGAGGCAGGGGAGCAGCCCCGGCCAGTCACCGCTGAGGGAGGGGCTGCCCGTGCGCACCGCTTGCACGGACACTCCGGCACCCTTTGATTTCCACATCAGTTTTATTTGAATTCCGCGTCAATTTTTTCCTATAAAACCAGAAGCGGCGGCGGCGGCACGGCCGGCTGAGGCGCGGGGTCCCCCTGGCGGCTCCGGCGGCCGCTCCCGCGGCCCGGCTGCCCCGGCGCGGGGGCTGTGCAGGGACTCCTGTCAGGAGTGGGGTCACAGCGTCAAAGGGCTGGAAGCGGCTCAGGAGGGCCTCAGTCCCCCCTCTGGCTCCAAACGGGGTCGGCGCTGAGGCTGGACTGAGCTGCTCAGGGCCTTGTCCTGCCAGGTCCCGTAAACACAAACACAGAATCTCAGGATCAATTAGGTTGGAAAAGACCTCCGAGATCATAGAGTCTAATCAAACACCACCTTGTCACAACTAGACCATGGCACTAAGTGTCACATCCAGTCTTTCCTTAAACACCTCCAGGGACGGTGCTCCACCACCTCCCTGGGCAGCCCATTCCAATGTTTAATTACCCTTTTTGTGAAGAAATTCCTCCTGATTTCCCACCTAAACCTCCCCTGGCGCAGCTTAAGACGAGCTCTCGTCCTGTCACTCGTTGCCTGGGAGAAGAAATTGGCCTCCACCTGGCTACAACCTCCTTTTCCAGGTAGTTGTAAAGAGTGGTAAGGTCTCCCCTGAGCCTTTTCTCCAGGCTAAACAATCCCAACTCCCTCATCCACTCCTCATAGGAGTGGATATTACTCTCCTGACCCTTCCACAGCTTTGTTACCCTTCTCTGGACTTGAGGATGGAAACGGCATGGCCTTCCAGGAGTTACTTGGTTGCTCTGCCTCTTGACTGTCCTCCCAGAGAAAAAGTTTTACCTTGTGCCCAGCCTGAGCTGCTCTTTTTTCAGTCTCTGGCTGCCATCTCTGATCCTACCACCATGCACCACTGCAAACAGCCTGGCTCCATCATCTCAATAACCTCCCTGTGGGTGTTGGAAAGATGCAATTTGGTATCTCTTCTCCAGGTCAAACAAAGGGAGCTCCCTTGGCCCCTCCTCACAGTGCAGGTGCTCCAGTCCCGTCACACCTGGATGGTCTTACACCAAACTTCTCTGAATTTATCAATGTCTTCCTTGTGCTGGGGAACCCAGCACTGGACATGGTATCTAGAGGTGGTCTAAGCAGTGCTGAGTAAAAACCGGTAGTGCCGTTCCCCTCTATCTACTGGTAGTGCTGCTGTCAATACAGCCCTGAATATCATCAGCCCTGTGTGCTGCCAGGGCACTCTTCTGCCATGAGCTACATGGACAGAAGTCATCTCACCAGCATCTTCCTCTTTACACCTTTTCCCCAGCAGCAGCCAGAACTTTTGGAGATGAGGTATTGAGAACCTATGCTGGTTGATTCACTCTGCTGATCGATTCACTCTGCTGATCTCTGTCACATTGTAGTTTTCTTGTCATTACTCCCCCTCTTCTCAGGCCTCGCTCATGATCAATTCCACAAGCCCAGCCCACTCTCAACAAATTCTTTGCAATTTGTTCCACTCACTACTTGGGAACTTTTAATGTCAAATTAGAAGGTACTCAGAAAACAGAGAAAAGGAGAATTATTCATGTGAACAGCATTCTAAGGCAGTTGGGACAAAAAAGAAGACATGGGACAACAAGACTGAGGTTTAGAAAAGAGGGAAAATGAATTATAAGGTATGTTTGAAAGTGTAAAGTTCCTCAGACAACTGAATGCAACAGGGAAAATTGAATTCATTCAGAAAATTGAGAACATGGATGATAACACATCAGAGGTGGGGACAGAGAGTCTCTAAGGGGAGAAGTTCCTATGTTACAAACCATGAAAGTGAAAACTGCAGTTGATAGAAAGCAGTTTTCCTCTCAGAGAAATTATTAAGAATTTAAAGTATACTCTTACTCTTAAAAGGGAATTTATGAAAAAAAAAAAGGATTTGTAAAACCTGGAAAAAATCTAGTCAAAGCTTTTAATTTCAATAGCGTAAGTACTATACAATCCAAACAAAATTAGGATCAGAATGAGAACATATAAAATACCAAAATAATCCTTTTTAAGTTTTAATGATACCCCCCAACTACTTAGTGTAGTACTAAACCTTTCAGTTTACACTACCACTCTATACTTCTGAGACATGAAAATCCACTCTTTTACATCCCTCTAACAATTCCCAAGCATTTAAGTAAGTTGAATAGGCACCTGCAGGGGGAAGCTCCAGTGTCACTATTATTACACACCCAGAATTACTCTCCCTGTGCCATGTGGAATGGTACTGACAAAACTATTAAGCTGGGTAGGGGTGTCACAGTGACATTTTGCAAAGCATTCTTTTCCCACATTCCCTGGTGAGCTCAACATCTTAAGGAAAGATGGTGTTTTCATGTCCTTACATGGTAACACAATATTACAGAGCACAGCAAAGAAGATTAAGGAAGAAGTCTTGTGATTGTGGACTTCTAGGAGCCAATATTTGCTTTCCCTGGGCATTTTAGGAGGTAAACTGAAGACTACATGGGACTTAAAGTCTTGGAGATATGACTTATTGGATTTATATAAAAATGCTACTAATCTATTACCAATCTTCTCTGAGATACTTTGTGTACATTCCTACTATTCCTATACAAGCAATATTAACTGAAGTTCTTGCCTTGACAAGATTTGAAAAGTACTTTAAAACCCCACTCCTTTTTTTTCTCTTTCTTCCTCTCACATGTGCAGGAAAGGGAAAAAAAATGGAATGTCCCACCTTTCCAGTCATGGCAGCAGCTCTGCATGTTCCAAGAATATACAATACTCTGGAAGAAAGCCATCATTATCACTTGGGCTGTTGCAGATGATACCTTGATTGTACTAGGAGCATCTTTTTTTCTACCTTTCACTGTAAATGTCTGAATAATTTGAAGTAAAATAGCAATCTCTGTGCTGATGTTGCCAGTTCTTAGGCCTCTTTGCCTCTGAAATAAAAGTCGTTGGACCCTCCATGAACTTATCTAAAAACTTACCTGAAAGCCAAATTGTACAAGGAGCTTCAGAAATATATGCAGGAAAAGCATGCAGAGAAGCACTTTTCCTGATTCAAGTGCACTCCTTAAATAACCTCTACTGTTAGCAAATACAGTATATTGGATGGCAGGCAACTGCAATGGTTCTTTGCCTTCCTAGCTCTTCCAGGTGATATAAGTACAACCAAAATGCTGTAAATGTCAAAAAATGAAGAAGATAGCATATCACTACAGGCTTCTGAGCATTAGTTAGGTCAATCTAGATCTTGGTGCATTAGGACCTTCACAGTAACTCAGTGAGAGAAAATCGGAAAAAAATCCAACCATTCTTCAGTGTATTATGGCAATACCACTACTCAGCATTCAGTAGGAAGATGCACTGCTTTTGTATTAAGCAAGTAGTCCCATATAGCTGGTAGAAATGCAGTTTCAGAAAGGAGTGAGCGAGGTTTTAGACATAGTAGAGAATGCAGATTGTTCTGACCTATTTGCTCAGTGGTCTCCTCCCAGTGATTAAGAAAAATGCCTGTTACTGGAGAGGAACAGACTTACTCTGTTCCTCATTCTGGGAGCTGGAAGCAGCTGATGTGATTAAGCAGCTGAGTGATAAAGCCACTCTTAAGTGATTTGAAGAAAATATGTGAGAAGAGGCAAAATTCTACAACTTTGTATCAGAAAATATAACAGACCCTCAAACCAATCCTGCGTGAACCATGCTGGATGGGAACTAGTAGAAACATCACAACTTCATCCCTCGTCTTTCTGTTAAATAGTATAGACTGGTCTAAGGAGGAGAACTTACCTGTGTATGTTTGCGTATTTGGAAAGGTTGGTGTTTTGTGCTTCTTTCCAAGGGAAATAGTAAAGACCTTTTTTGCTTGAAGCTCCAGTGTGTTCAGCAACTTCTACAGCAGAGTGATAGTTACAATTTTCAGCAAAAGAAGCATGATTGCCCAGTGAGTCCTCCAGCCTAATGTAAAATTTAAGAAGTGGGAATTTTTTATTATTAAACTAAGTAAAATGTCTTGATTCATAGACCAAAAGAGGAATCTGCCACCTTTAAGTCAGAGAAAAAAGAATTACAGGATCGTCTACAAAGTCGCTGATGAGAATAAAAACCAAGTTCACTGGTGTTGTGTACCTCTGCTACAGTAACACATCCAAAAAATGAGCTCAATAGAGTCTCAGACACAAGGAAATGGACCTGAGAGATTGCTACCCTCAGTGAGGGAGCCATGTGAAGGCCTGCCTAATTCTATACGTGTCTCATTCATTCTATGTAGGACCAGCTCACTACTAAAATATCTGACAAGGACCATAGCAATTGTTTAACATTGCCTACAGAGAAATGGTTCAAATGAAATTAGAAAGATGTCTGACTAGTTGACAATTCCAAGGAGCTTATTTCCTGCATTTGAAAATAGATAGAAAAAAAATAAGATTACTGTTTCCATTATTTACAATCTGATTTATAATCTGGCATAAATGAAACATTTCAGCAATAGCGAAAGCCTGGAATTGAAACAATGGAGCTGAACAGTTCCAAAGAGAAAACACTAACTTTGAAACATTGAGAAAACAATAACTTTGAGAGAAGGCATCTCTGAAGGTCCTGGTATCTTTGTAGCACTGAAGTTTATGTCAGGAGTTATCTAGACATTTAGGTTATTTATTTGTCAGCATCACTATAATATACAAGCATTTCCCAAGGGAACTAGACAAGTGCTATCATGAAGCAACAGCAAGGGGACAACTAAATCACAGAGTTAAGCAATCTGGCTGAA